GATTCATGATTAGAGCACAGGGATTTTTGAAATATTCTTTTATTCTTATACTTGGACACTTAGACTAGGGACTTCTTAACAAAAGAGTTTCTGCTTGTGTCCACTGACTTGATCATTTTATACATAATCACTACAAAAGCAGATGTACAAGCAATCATGTTTAAGGTTCCTCAATTCATACGAAAAATGTAATATGCCATTAATCGAAGCTCATCTAGCACAATTATCTGTCATTATTTCAGAGAATTAAGCAATGTTCTGAAATTCCTTGTTTGTGCAAAACGTCTTAATTTTCACGAAAATACTTGAGTCATCCTCTGTTTCAAGGCTTATTACATACTGTATATCAAGTCTCAATAATCTCAAAAAGAAATTCGAAAAATATATAAAGGACTCAAGACCTACACAAAATAGGAAACAAGACTAATGATGTGATAAATATGAGGTAAAGTTTTATATTAAAATTGCTAACATCATATATTAGTTCATTAAGGTGATGATTAAATATAATAATTTCATTATGAAAAAAGTAGAAATGAACTAAAAATTCAAATAAATTCTAAATTACTTTTTCTAGATTATACAAAATCCATATGGTTATTTTATTTTGTTAGACCACCTTTCGAAATTTCCTTTTTTCTTTTTTCTATTAACAAATGTCTTTCCATTCTTCTATAATTTGTTTCTTACAATATGTAAATTATATCTAGTTTTGCCTCGTCACATTCCTACTTTTTTTTAATCTATTCCTAATTTTTTCTCTACTATCTCATCAACACAATTAAAAAATATAATTCATTCATTATTACACATTTTCTAACAAAATTCACTATTTATCCAATCACATATTTTTAAGTAATAATTATTTATAGTTATTATTTTACTTATATTTTATATTGCATCAACTTTAATTATTATGTTTTATCACATTCACATTCACAAACAACAAAATAGACAATGTCAATTCGATTGGGCCTTTTCAAACTCGAAAAAAAAGTCAAATTTCCATTATTTGGATCCCAAATTCTTTGCCCTATCACTATATTTTCCCTTTTAGCACCCAAAAGATCCCTCTTTTCTAACCTAAAGTCAAGTGAACTTCCACTCATTTTTTCCTCTTTCTTTTCATCACGTTTACTATTAAGATAATTTTTTCCAAAATAATTTATACCCACACCCTAAAAATTAGAGTAATTTACCTAAAAGACAAAAGTTAAGAGTAATTTACCCATAACAACTACAAGTAAACAGAAAAGAATAATACCTGAGCTTCATTTTGCAAAACCAATTAATACCCATCTTCTCAAACAGTAGAGACAAAGGTTGGCACATGCTGGATGGTGTGAATGAATACCTGGATGGCTGGACCCATCAAAATCAAAACATTAAAAATATTTAAATAAAATTTCCATACTGCTAAGACATACCCATATAAACTGTTATTATTTGCACTCCTGTGGTACATCCATTTATTTAAAATTATTTATCAAACCCTTTTTTCAGGGATCTGCAATCAAATTATAAAATTATTGATTGATATCTCCTCACTTTCATGATAATAACTTCAGAGGTACAAGTGGGGCTCTCTAACCACGTGATGATGCGTACAAGAGATAACCTTATTTTCAAATTTCATGACCAAACCCATGTGCCCTTTAATGAAGATAAAACCCAAAATCTTGACAATATATATACATGCAAAAGTTCTTTCAAACACTTCACCATTGAAGCAAAAGCACATCCCAATTCTCACAGACCATCGAAAACAATCAAAACATAAAAGCCAAATATTTCTTCACATCAATTTTTTTCTTTTTTTTTTTAAATACGAGAAACAAAGTATGGCTATTCGCATCCAGTCGTTGATTTCGAACGCTAAGCAAATCTACAAAATTCAGTCCCTTCTCAATAGAAATCAAGTGGACGTGCCAAAAGGCCATCTGGCAGTTTATGTTGGGAAATTTCAAAGGAAAAGGTATGTGGTGCCGATAACGTACCTGAACCACCCGTCGTTTCAAGATTTGTTGCATCAAGCGGAGGAAGAATTCGGGTTCAATCATCCAATGGGAGGACTTACAATTCCATGCAGTGAAAATGTTTTTGTTGAACTCACTTCAAGATTGCAGCTGTAAATGATGCAAGAAGAACAACAAAACAGCAATGTCAACAGTTTCGATTTTTCTTTTTTCTTTTTTCTTTTTTTTTTTTGGGTTTGGAAAGAAATAGATGTAGGATGTAGATTCACAGATGTAAAAGAAAGAGGTAGAGATTCTTTTTCTTTTCCTCTTTAAGGAAAAGAAAAATTCTGTTGAACAAAGTATGAATTGAATATTTGATCAATTTGATGACCATCTTGCTATTTTGCATTTACTAGCTAGAGATGCTTATACATACATATACAGGTGCCATAATTTGATCTAAACTGCGTATGAAATGATAAGAAAATCCATAAACAGATAATGTTCAGAGGATAAAAACCAATCCCAACTTTAAATTGTTTGATGTCAAGAGTCATAGAAGTGGTAAGTGGAGAACCACTATTGATCTTCTTAAAAAAAAAAAAGAAAAGAAAAGAAAAAAAAAAAAAGTGATATAAGACTATGTTTCATTCTCAGCCCGAACCAGAAACATCACATACATACACAGTTATAAAAGAAAATTCTAATTTTAACAATCTGGAAAGTAACTAGAAGTTTGAGGATTCCTCTTCATAACAGAGTAGAGAAAATTCATTTAGCTATTTAAAAACTTGGCAACAAAATCCGTCATTAGTTGCCTTTGAAATTTGCATTATGATATAATAAACATAAAATGCTACAACCAAACGCGCCTGGACCCTATTCTAATACTCACCGACTAAATCTAAGAGGTTTTAATCAATTTAAGTTTTGCAGGATATGCATATATGTGTTGGTGTGTTCTAGAAAACAAATGTTACCACCAACAAAGCACAGTAACATCGGTGGTGTAAGCAGTTACTCATATTCATGACTGAGGCTTCTGACATATTTCAAAAATATAATCTATGTGTTTTAGATAGTTTCCATAAATCTCCTAGAAAGTACAAACATATATATTAGCTATTTTAACTGTGGAGTCTCTCATCTTTGAATTGAAATTCCAAATTTATCACTTGTGACCTGAGCTAAGTTGACTTGATGCATAAAAGAGTCTCAATAAATCAAAAACAAGGGATAGATGCAAATATATTCCCAAAAAATAGTCCCAAATACTTTGTAAGAGTCCCAGAAAGCTGCAAGCCACTTGCAAGTACAACTTGCTGACGGTGTCCATAAATCTGCAGTCTTTCAGATAGTTATACCATCCCCTAAGATCACATTCGTCTTTAACACACAACAAATTCAAACAAAAAACACATGCCCAAATATCGTTGTCTTTACAAATCCCAGTTTTTAAGGTGTTAATGTTTTGAAACAACCCACAGTGGCTTTCCTACAATGAGATCATGGGACCAAGTGGAATGAGTTTTAACGAGTCCACCAAGGCATGGATATAGTCATAAGAATTTTTTTACACGTTAATTAAAAGTTAAAATACAGATATAATTTTTTTTTAAAAAAAAAAAAACTCTAAACTTTTGTTTCAAAACTTAATTTTCCCATGAAAATATGTTTTCCGCATTAAATGTTGGTTTTGTATGCGAAACCAAGTGTTTTCGGACATATCGACTTATTTTTTAAAATTCTGGTCTCTATTGACAATTTTTCATGGGCTTTTTAATACAGAAAAACATTCATATCAATCATTAGACCTTCCCAGACTCCCAGCTGATAAAAAAAATCCACTGTTGCACCTGATTTCACTCACCAACTTGGCCTCTTATTGGCTAGCTAGCTAATACAAATGGTATAAATATGTGTAAAAATCAACCCTCTGTCCCAATCTCCACAAAATCCAAAGCAAAGCAAACATGTTCAGACACATCAAGAAGTTTCTTATTTCATATCCAAAGAAACATGTTACAAACTTCCATTTCAGACATCACAGAATTAAATCTACTCAAGCCAGGAACCAATCAGATGTTCCTAAAGGTCATTTGGCAGTTTATGTAGGAGAGTTCCGTAACAGGCATGTAATACCGATATCGTACCTGAAGCATCCTGCATTTCAAGACTTGTTAAGGCAAGCCGAACAAGAGTTCGGTTTTCATCATCCTCTGGGTGGCCTGACATTTCCTTGTAAGGAGGAAGCCTTTGTGAACTTGACTTCTGAGTTGGGTATGTCATGACGTACTCGGATTGTTCGTGCTCAACCAAGAAATTTTCTAGATGAGCTTTCTTCTGCCTCAATGGCATATCTGTATACTCCTGAAAAAAAAAAAAAAAAAAAAAAAAAAAAAAAAGGAAAATTAGAATCATCATTAGAGTACAGGGATTTTTCGAAATATTCTTTTATTCTTATACTTACACATTGAAAGTAAGGACTTCTTACCAAAAGAATTCCAGCTTGTGTTCACTGACTTGATCATTTTTTACATAAATCCAATATCTGGCTCACTACAAAAGCAGATGTACAAGCAATCCTGTTTGAGGTTCCTCAATTCATACTGAAAAAATGTAATCTGCCAGTAATTGAAGCTCAAATAGCACTATTATCTGGCATTATTTCAGAGAATCAAGAAAAGTTCTGAAATTCTTTGTTTCCCCATTTCAATCTCCAGAACAAGCAAATGAGCATATTTTCCAGGATTTTGTTAGGCACCTTAAAGGATCAACAAACACGAAAATGTCAAAACGATATTACTATGTGTACATATATTCACTTGCAATCTAAAACCTCAAGAAATGAAGCCCTGATATATACACTACATAACGAATTACACCCCATGAATCTTCTACCAGAAACTGTTACATGATACCTAGACAGATTTAACCACTCTGAATGTTAAAGTGTACAAATATACCAATCCATCTCTTTAGTCCTCTTTCCATTCGAGCAAAATTTAGAAAATAAAGGAAACATAATTACTACACAACAGTAATTGGCTGTGCATTCATTATAGAAAAGAACACAAAGCCAACATGACAATGTCTTCATCCAGTACTTCATTTATATTACAAAGGGCCGATTACAACAGGTACCACCCTATAATCTTCATCCAATACTTCAACTTTTGGTTCGCAAAATTCAAGGAAACGGTCCTTAGAGCTCGTAGTTCAATTCCATCCAACTCAAAACCGAATCTGCAGGTTTCATTTTCCAGAGCAGCGATAGTTGATAAATCAACTGTTCAAGGCTCATGTAAAAGGATACTTTCTATTGCTGTCGCAGAACAATGAGCCATCATAACACCAACAAGAGTTGACCAACTTATGGCAAAAAGACACGTCATTAGGGATGATAATAATAATAATGGATTATTAATTTAGCAAATGAATGAATTCTCCCAAGGCACCCATATATGTCAACCTTATTCCAATGAAAAATGGTCGGTTCTGATTTTGAACTGTTGACGACTTATTCCCGAACCCAGATGTCTTACGGATGAGCTAAAATCCATATTATTTGCGTCAAATCGAGAACGAAGCTTTGGCTGGAACCACGTCCTTATAGTGACGCCATTTATTCGAATCTTTCCATATGACTCGTTTCCTATATAAGATAATCCAAGTCTCCTCAACAGGGCTGCAACTGCTTGACTTATCCTGTTGAGCAATTAGAGCATCTTCAGAACATATTAGAGCTTATTAGTTTTACAAACATCATACACGGAAATCAGAAATAGAGATAAAGATTCAACTAAAAAAGTACAAAAAGGTTCTAATTTACTTGTTAAAATGGCATCCATCTTTGGAATAGCTGAAAAAAAATTTGACATAAACACAAATGCGATATCCATATAATATGCTAAAGTATTGTTGCAAAGAGATCTATAGAGAGTGCAAACACAGAATCAAATATGTGCAAAGAAGATCCTAGCAAGAAGATAATCTAACCTGCCCGCAATATTAACTATTTTCTCCCCAGAAGAAGTCTGAATTTGTGTCTTTTCTACGGGGAGTAAAATAGTTACATTAGGCAACTTTACACCTGTTCAAGATCGGGAAAAAAGTGTTACAACTGAAGAATGGAATAAAAATGTCACTGAATAGTGATCATTAAAGACACGACAGAATGTTTAATCCCAATTTATCAGGCATAAATGGCAATTAAAATGATTTTTTATCTCAAGAAACGATAAATCCAGAATTAAACAAAGAAGTAAATTGTTACCAGCTGCCAACCGATGTTTGAGGCCTTTCAAAACTGTCAAGAGGTATACCTGATCAATATTTGCAACCATGTTTAGAGATAATTCTCATTGCAGGATATAGAAGTATAAAACATCACATGATTGTACCATAGTATGTGTGTGTGGGGTTGCACGTGTGCAACCCGCATGCTGGTTGGGCCCATGATAGCTATAACACAAAGTGATGCACACATTTTGTCGACAGTAGGTATACATGCACATACTTAAAAATGAAAAAAAAAAAAAAGGAACTTATTGGTAAGCATCGCAAAATAACTTTTACACCATATGGTCCATATAAATCTCTTCTGATGATTGATAATATTTTTATCAATATGAATCCTAAAGAGGCCAACAAAATCACTTGAAATTGTCAGTTCATAAGATTTACCGTGTAGCCTAAATGGAGATAACAAGTACGGCATCAAAATTTGCACATTCATGAGCGCTGCAATAATCTATGTTGCTTAAACAAAATCAGCTTACCTCAGCTGTATGAACGTGAAAATTTCTTGTATCAACAACGATTGGGGTGTCTTTAAAAGAGACAAATGGAATAACTCCAAGAGAAGAAGCCTCCTAAAAAATAGCAAAGGACCTGTGAACTTCCTCCAACATGAATTTTTCAAGAAGGTGCAAATTCTTAAGCACATCGCCAATATAATGAATTTCTTAAGTTTGTACAGACCTCAACTATAGAAAAGGAGCGGGAATCATACTCCCCAAATCCATCAATTAAGGAAAAGAGATTTGCATCTTTTGATTTATCAGCATTAACTCCAAGATTCTCAATGAGTCTATTCCGCACAGATACATCATGAGGAAGCTGTAGACAACCCAAGACTAGAGATAGTTCATCCATAGTAGGTACGACACCAGCTAGGATTGTTTCTCTGTACACCATCAAGGCCAAGGAGGTCCTGCAAAGTTACAGGCATACATAAAGGATATGTTTTACGTCTGAAGGAAATCAAATGGTTAAGCAAAACTTACAAATGAAAAAAGTGTATACTTAAGAGAAATCAAAACTTGTGCAAACTGAGTCAATAGGGGTTATAATATTGGTATGGTTTTACAGTTCCATCAACCAATTCAAATGTCTGAAAGGAGCATGGATCGGTTTCATTTCAGAAGTTGGAAACGGGACATCATGATAGCTGCATCTTCAACAAATTCTCCTAATTGTCTTAACACAAACAAAAATATTACATTATTGAATTCCAACAAATTCTCCCAATTGTCTAAACACAAACAAAAATATTCATTAAATTCCAAATACAGAAGTTAGAAATGAGACCTCATGAGAGCTTCATCCACAACATACTCTCCTAATTGTCTAAATAAAAACAAAAATATCTCATTATTAAATTACAATTGTCAGTACTCTTCACTTTCAGTGGAAGTCCAAGCAACAGAAGGCAACCATCAGATTTTGATTTCAAACCAATAACAATGTAAACTCCACAACTACGCAATTGATGGTGGCCGAATACACACGCATGCGCGCACGCACACACACACGCGCGCACACACAATATCATCGGGTCCGACAATATTGAGCATCCAGGTCAAAAAATGGAAATAAAAGAAAAGTATATTGAGAAATAAAGATCTGCCAACAAAATCATCGGGTCCGACATGAAAACGGATGCTATATTGACATATCTAAAGTCAGAGTTGTCAGATAGCAAGATTTATTTTAGTTAGAAAACTATAGCTTCTCTAAATGTATCATGGAAAGTGATTACTGCATCTCAACTAGAAGCAATAATCACAAAATGTATTGCAATAATATGGTAAGAATGCAAACCATTTACTATTAATCTGAACTCCCCCAGATGTGAAAGACAGCACTGGATCACCAAGTGTATTAGCAGTTTGGAATCTCCTTGAGCACATAGCTTTAGAAAACAAACATGATGAAGTCAGCAAACAGTTTACACTTCAAAAATAAGGAAAGAAAAACAAAAAATTAAACAAGGGGATACTGCACGATAAAGTTTGACAACATATGTCCAGAATAGAGTACTTTTCCATTCTTAGTAACTGGCTCCGGCATAAGCTTTGACAAAGAAATTGTATGACATTTTGAGCTCATAATCTCAAGTTTTAAACCCTTATCCACTTTTAAATCTTACATCGGAAGCAGAAAAAGAGAAACTTAGACATCGAAGTAGAAAAACGACAAATCAAACCCAGTTTGTAGAAGTATCAAATCATATTCAGTTATTTAGTCATACGACTCGGACAAATGAGGAAGACAAACTATGGTTATTTTCACAGCCGGAATTGATATTAGCAAAATTTAGTCTTAACATTAACTTGTCTAGTCCTGTCACAAAATAGCATAAAAGCAACTAATCACATAAATCACGGACTACTTTTATATATCAATCTAATATGAAAATAAACATAAGAAGACCCACAAATCTCACCTATGAGACATCGGCACATTAGAAGGCTGGGAGTCGCACCATTTTTTTTTGTTTGAGAAATAAGAGCGAGGCCAGCTTCTAGATCATCCTTTCTGGAAAATATAAATTGGTGCATGATAATTGAGACACACAATTCTAGGTTGACGAGCAAGGTTAAAATCATATCAATTCAGTATAAAGAGAGGTAATTACTTTTCACTTGCCACTGAAAGAATGGAGTAAGTTATAGTATTTGGACGCAGTCCATAGCCTTTCATTTCAAGTAAAATTTCCATGGCCTTCTGCAATTGATCAGCATCACCTGCAGGGCAATGTGAATATATGAATTTTTAGTACACTATATAATGCACATAGATGGGGTAAAAAAGATTTAAAACAACAACAACAACAAAACGAAACTAGTTGTGCGTGGAATATGTACGATACTTCGGAATTTGGGTCTGAGCCTAACTGTAAGAGGACTAATTCTGCTTCATCTAATCCCTTGATTAGTTGCTTTTGAGAATGTACATTTAATAGCAGTCCATGAATTTGCGGAATATAAATACAGCCAAGTGTTCTTTCAAGGGTTCTGTAACGGTAATCTGTTGAAAGCCTGGGAAAGAAACTTACACAAAGAAGTTATCAAGGCGTTCATCATTGACACTGTCGGCTTCAAATTCAATCTCTTGATGTCCTTATACAGACCCACTGCCTTCTGCCAGGCGCTGGCCTAAACAAATTTAGTAAATAATTAGAAATAATTTTACTGTGGCTGACTACATAAACATCTTCTTGTTGTAATTGTGGAATCATACAACAAATGACAAAATAACAAAGGAAATCAATCATTGAACTTTGCATGATCTGTTCATCATTTATAACTAAAGGCTTTCTTAAGCCTACTAGACTAAAACTTTGGCATCCCACATGGTTAAAATAGAGTGGCTAGAAATGTCAACACGAGAACGATGAGTTTTCCATCTGAATGAGGTACTGCATGAAAGCAATAGGCATAAAACAAAAGAATTTTTCAATCAACATTTTCTACTATTTGAAACCCGGAAGAATCAGTATAGAACTATTCATTAACAAAAAATCATTAAGAAAAGATCCCTGTTAACACCCTATTTGGATCTAATTATAGCACTCACAGAAATGCTGTACTTGAATTCCTAGAAATTAGTGAGTTGCACATACATTGCTACAGGCTCCCATCAACGAGCTGTACGAAATTATTCCAACATGCATCCCTCTAGCCTTAGCTTCTTGCACAATTTCAAAAGCAGCATCAACTTTTCTAGCATGCCCGGCAACATCTATCAAGGCGCTGATAAATTTCTGTATTAAGGAAATAAACAAAGAAGGTGAAATTGCACTTTTCAATAATCAGCTGACCATATAACCTCTGACAAGCCACTTCAGTGGGCACTAGTAATTAGTATCTCATAAACTCAATATTTAGTTGCAAACGTATATACACGTGTGTGCATGTATTAGAAAAGGCAAAGAATTATAGGAGCCTTAAGCATGCACTGGAGAAAAAACAAGTATAAGTTCAAAAAAAGGAGGGAATACATTCATAAGGCCTTTTCAGGTTTGAGACACTTTTTTTTTAGTGGCTAATCACTTAATGGTATCACAATTCTGGTGGCACAAGTATTACCTAACAAAATATTGAAAAACATAAAAAATAAGTAAATAACTATAAGAACTCATCCCCAAAGCCAGCTCATAAGAGGGCGGTGCCCAACTCACACTTTTACACGATAAGAGCCTATTAACTAATGGATGTGTGTCAAACATACACTTCTGCCAAATGCATCATAAGTTCGCAAATATTACATCAAACAGAATTTTAGAGGATTGTCAGGATTAATAATAAAAGTGTGAAACTAATCGAAAATTTCTCAGGAAACAATAACAAATATTTTTTTCTAATCTCTCACAGCAGTTATAATTATAGTTAAAGAACTAGTAATTAAAACTGGTTTCTGAAAAGTAAAAATGGTGGAAGTTTAAAATAGCCACCTCATCTGGAGCGACACCTTTTTTTATCATGTCATCATAAACACTGCAGGCGAATTCCCAATCACTGCAGCTGTTCACTGCAATAGTATAAAGCTCTGCAGTGCCACGAATATTGTACTTATGAATCATATTGTAAACCTCTCTTGCCCGATCAACCTAAAACAGTGTGAAATCCTATTTACATTGCAATGGACGAAACAAGATGAAAACAAACAAGATAATGGTTTCAAATAGAAGCTAGACAGAAAAACTCACTTGACCAGCACCGGCACAAGCCTTCATCAGTGCACCAATTGTAATGTGATCAGGGTCAATGGGGTGTTTCTCTGCGCTCATTTCAGCTAACACATCAAATGCACGGTCCACTGCTTTTGATTGACCACATGCAGTGATAAGCGCATTGAAAACTACTCGGTCTGGTTTCACGTTCTAATACGTACAAGAAAGTTCAGATTAGATGGCAAACCGGCATACAAGATACACAATAGCTTTTCAATCGAGAAAATCTCATTGGCACGCCATCTTATATGACGATGAAGATAGAATATAACATCAGAAGACATTTTCACCTTAGATCTGAGTATTCCATAGGCACCAAAAGCTTTAGCAACTTGCCCTGCTTTTCCACAACCATCAATGAGTGAGCCATATGTGTGAAGACTTGGTTCAACTCCAGCATTTACCATTTCGTGGAAAACCTAAAGTTGAATAAACTCCATAAGGATTAGGGATTCTAGAATGATGATATAAAGTGAAATAAACATCTTTGTGATCAGGATATACCCAATGAGAGGCATGCAATTATATCCTCACATGTTTTAATGTAGTACATATGACACAGTAAATACAGTTATTTACCTTGAAAATGTATCAAGACTGAAACAACTAAAATCAACTATACTTGCA